CTGAGGTCAGCACTCTGCTATCTTAACAACCTGGTTCTCTTGGGACACAATGACTGTACCTCAAGTCTCTTATATGATCGTTCCTTGCTCCTCAATCCTTGCTCAACCAGGAAGTTGTTCCAGTCAAACAACGATCACTTAAGCCACAAGTAAGAATACATAAGACCATTGTTTGCCTAAGTCTTTTATGCATGCCCCTTTATCTTAAAATGAACAATCAGAAGAAAGGACATCTTGTGACTTTAAAAGTGTGCTTCCTTGATACTGGTATTTTTTCATTACGTTGAAAATGTTAATAGAAGCACCAAATGTGTACACTGTCAGGCAAATGTAGTCTATACAGACTGCTTCACATTTCCAAAAGCAGAGAAGAATTCTGGTCACACTGTCTACAATTACACAACATCCTTTACAAAATTAGCAAATTAACCTTTTGGAAATGAAAACAAGATTTTTCTGAAAGTCTATTTCATGTTTAATGGATGAATAATTTGAACCTTTCACATGCTAAGGCACACTTCTGATCCATGACGTACATGACGTATTATAATTATTTTAAATTTCCTAGCTAAAGATGCTTGAACATACACATTCTTACAGGATGGACGTGGTTAACAGGTCAGCTGGCCACCTAATCTGACTGGATAGCAGCTCACGTACATATAAACCTAACTGACAAAAGAGTAATAACACAACATTGTATATGAAGAGTGAGGTATTTTGAAATATACCCAGAATTATCAGAGCAATTACCACAAAAACACAGTATAAGGACTTGGAAATTTTTTTTTTTTTTAAATTCCATTGTCTTTAAATTGACCTGTCCAGGGTGTACCCCGCCTTTGCCGATTGCCAGCTGGGATTGGCTCCGCCCCCCCGAGAGACCGCTCAGGGAACAAACAGTAGAAACTGAATGAATGAATGTCTTTAAGTTTTTAATTAATCATTACGTACAGCCTCTATCACAATATGAGTCAAATGACTGAGCAATTTATTGATGTTGTTACTGTACATTTCAAATGAATAACTACATTTATTAAATACACAACTACTGATGCAGTAGTTAAAATAAAATAAAATGAGATATCACTGACGCAGAAAAAAACAATAAAAACACAAATTTTCATCAGGGATATGCGACGCAATGGATAACTCCTAGCAGTCTTCTATGACACCTCTTGTTGACCTAATCCAAACAGTCTAAACTTGGCTTAATTGTTGACACTGCTTCAGAGAGAAAGGGGCAGGGTGAGCTGGAGCAAACATTACTGCAATCAAATGTCACATATGCTTGAAAAGAATCGACCACATATCAAATCATCCAATTCCCTGGCCATACATCCTTCCATCAAGCCAAACATCCATCCTATGACAGAACACCACCATGAAACATATTGTATGTGCTGTTTGTGCTATCTTAGAAGTGCCACAACAATTCCAACCAGCTAGTTCCAAGTGTGTCTGCCCCCCGCCCACCTAAATCATATAAATCAAGAATCAACTCCAGAGGAGTTATTCATAAGAACCTAATTAAAATTAAGATGACTCCTCTTATAGTAGAAAGTAATAGGACAATCAAATGTGGACTATTAAATATCAGATCTCTCTCATCTAAATCTCTGTTAGTGAATGATTTGATAAGTGAACATCACATTGACTTATTGTGTCTTACTGAAACATGGTTACAGCAGCAAGAATATGTCAGCCTAAATGAATCCACTCCACCTAGTCACAGTAACTGTCACATCCCTCGAAACACAGGAAGGGGTGGAGGTGTGGCAGCGATGTTTGACACAAGCCTATTAATCAACCCTAGACCTAAACATAGTTATAACTCATTTGAAAGTCTCACCCAGAGTCTCTCAGACCCAAAATGGAAAACTCAAAAGCCTGTTCTGTTTGTTATTGTATACCGTCCACCTGCTCCTTATTCAGAGTTTTTAAGTGAATTCTCAGACTTTCTGTCTGATTTAGTGCTTAGTACAGATAAAATAATCATAGTAGGCGACTTTAATATTCATGTAGATGCCGACAATGACAGCCTCAACAATGCATTCTGTTCATTATTAGACTCAGTTGGCTTCTCTCAAACTGTAAATAAACCCACTCACTGTTTTAATCACACTCTTGATCTGGTTCTGACATATGGCATCAAAACTGAACACTTAATAGTTTTTCCCCATAACCCTCTTCTGTCTGACCATTTTCTAATAACTTTTGAATTTCCAGTAATTGATTATACTCTATGTGGGAAACAGTTCCACTACAGTAGATGTCTATCTGACAATGCTGTTACCAAGTTTAAGGAAATAATTCCATCTTTATCTACTTCAGTGCCATTTGCCAACACAGTGGAAGGAGGCCACCTTAACCTTACTCCCACACAAATCGATAATCTTGTTGATAGTACTGCAGCCTTCCTGCGTAATACACTTGATACCATTGCCCCTCTGAAAAAGAAGGTAGTGAAACAGAGGAGGCTAGCCCCGTGGTACAGCTCGCAGCTCCGCTCCCTAAAGCAGGCATCACGAAAAATGGAAAGGAGGTGGCGCTCCACTAAGTCAGAAGAGTTTTTCATAGCCTGGAAAGATAGTTTAATAACATATAAGAAAGCCCTTCATAGTGCCAGAACCACATTTTATTCATCACTGA